GAAACACAGACCAGAACATCTTACAGGTGCTATGTTGCGTTGTGTTGCCTGTGTGTGTGTGTGTGTGTGAGAGTGTGTGTGTCACCTGTCGCAGCTGAAGCCCTCCACGTTGTCTTTGCAGCGACACTGTCCCGTGTTGACGTCACACTCCTGAGTGCTGCCAGAGGGCGAGCAAGAGCAAGGCCTGACAGGGAGAGAGAGAGGGTGTGTGTGTTATTTATACACACAAGTTTAATTAACTGTACACACACACAGCAGGTGATGAGGCCGCTGCAGAGAGAGAGAGAAGGTCAGACAGTGACTCAGCCAGCAGAGGGCGATCAAACCCTGATCTCAGACCAGAACCAGGTCTGAGCGTCTGACACCAGGCGGAAACAGTGACCTGGGAGACAGGTGAGTGATTCACTCATCAGCTGTTAGTGGCATTCATCAACACCTGGACACCTGAGTTTCAGTTAGTGAGAGACCACAAGGAGTGTGTGTGAGTGTGAGTGTGAGTGTGAGAGTGTGTGTGTGTGTGTGTGTGTCTCCAACATCTAGTAAAACACATCAGTGAGTCTCTGTTGTTCTTGGTCACATGATCCTTCATCACTAAGCATGTGGGCTCTGTACTTTATTGTGAAGCCGCAGACTGACGACAGAGATCACTTCCTGTGAGGCAGACGTTACTGAGCATGCTCAGAAACACTGAGCTGTTTACGCTGCGCGCCTCTCCACTGTGATGTATTGATTTAGTCTGGGACAGAGTCCGATCGACACGATGGATTCAGACGAGACTGAGGGCGACAGGAGACACTGCTGTTACCATGGCGACAGGAGGCCGGTACTGGCGCTGGGCCTGAGCTCACCTGAGGCCCTGAGTGAAGATGGATCATGTAGTCTGGACTCGACCAGGTGCAGTTGTTTACAACGTGAACCATGTTTCTGAGCATGCTCAGTGACCTCTGCCTCACAGGAAGTGATCTCTGTCGTCAGGCCGCAGCTTCACAATAAAGTACAGAAGAGGTGTTTACTTTAATGGTGTTTTTATTTGAAGGAAACCTTAACTTTAACTGGTGCCTTTAAAGCTGGACACCTGAGTGTTATACAGACAGGTGGATTATGGGACATTTGGTGTGAACATGAAGACATCAGGGTGTGTGGGCGGTCGAGGTGTGTGGCCCCCCCTCAGCAGCCGGTCTGTACCTGCAGCCGGCCTCGGTCAGACTGTGGTATCCCGGCTGACAGCGGTCGCACTTCTCTCCGGTCACTCCGGGTTTACACGCACACATTCCTCTGTTGTCACACTGAGGAGACTCCGAGCCTGAAACACACACACACACACACACACCATACACACCCTACACACACACACACACACACACACACACACACACACACACACACACACACACACACACACACACTCCCATTAGCAGACCATTAGAGTGCTGGTCTCAGGCTGCAGCAGCTGGTTCACATTAACCAGCTGCTGAGCACCAGAACCACAAGTCCATACCTGCGGTTTCACATGTTCCTACTGCAGCTCGTGTTCACGTCGACATCGTGTTTTCACAATCACAACACCACATTTTTGAATTGTGGCCAACGTTTCCATGGCAACACCAGCACACGACGGGGCACAGAGAAAGCTCTTTCATTTCGCACATGAAATATATTTTAGTAGAAAAACAATAACAACAAAAAAACTTCATGTGATGTTATCTGGCTGCTTTCATGTCCCATCATGCACTCTGTTTCACTCTGATGGAAATCAGCGTGCAAAGATTTGAAACTCAGGTATGAAACAGCGACTCTGATCTGTTGTGTTCAAGTGTTTGTGGCTCAGCTGGTTAGTTTTTTATCTAGTGAGAGAACATGGAAAAGAAAGTGAAGATTTCTCGTTTTGATTCTCTGTCACGTAGAAAACTAGAACCTCCTCCTCGTGGTCGTATCCCTCCGCCACTGGGACTAGTTTCAGGTCACATCTCTGTTTATCCAGCGTCACAGAAAATATGAACCATTTGTGTGAAATTTGGTCATAATTGCTGTGAAGCCTAAAAAGGGATTTGTGAAGTCACCTTTGAGCTTTGACCACTAACATCTAATAGTTGTTAAGATGTCAACGTATCCCAAGATTCATTGCGCTCCAGTAATGAAAGCACTGCCAGAGAGCCTGCTGACCACACTGTTAAATGTCAGTGTTGTGTTTCGCTTCAACTGTTAAAACCAAGAGACTGAAAACAAAAGGTTCTTGTGGAAAAACGTTAAGTGTTGTCAAGGTTGCTAGGTGACAAGAGCCACGCTATCTGATGCAACTGTAAGGGCGGGAACAGCTGCTGGCGCGGTCTACGGCGGTTACGAACGTTCACGAGGTCAAAACCATGTTTTTTTTTAGGTCACCGTTATCTTGACCTTTGACCTTTAGCTACAAAAATCTAATCAGTTCATCCTTGAGTCCAGGTGAGTGTTTGTACCAAATCTGAAGACGTTCCTTCAAGGTCAGACAACCTGAGCCCTGACACCAAACTGGACCTGATCAGACGTGCTGAGACTCGCCCTGTGAGGTCGGGCCGAGCCGGGACTCACCCACAGAGTTGCAGCTGCAGGGCAGGCAGCGGCCGCCGCTCTGCTCTCTGTAGTAGTTGTCCAGGCAACGCTCACAGTTGGGGCCGTCGGTGTTGTCGGCGCAGTTCCTGCAGTGACCTCCGTGACCTGTGGCCCGGTACAGCTCCGTGTCGAAGTAACACTCAGAACTCTTCCCGTTACAGTCGCAGGCTGAGAGGACGACACACACACACACACACACACACACACACACGCACACACACACACACGCACACACACACACACGCACACACACACACACGCACACACACACACACGCACACACACACACACGCACACACACACACACGCACACACACACACACGCACACACACACACACACACACACACACACACGCACACACACACAGGTTCATGTTAACAGGGTCTGAAGGTGGAGGAAGGAAGTAAGGAAGGAAAGGGGAAGTAAATAAGGAAGTAATCTATCAAACTGCTTGAAGTGAACTCTTATTAAAAGAGGTAATCACACACAGTGTTGTGTTGTGTGATGTGTTGAACAGCTGTATCCGAGGTGAAGCTGTGACAGACGCAGTGTGCAGTCTGTCAGCTCATGTTGCTGTTGAGTGTTAACAGTGAGTAAAACAGAGGGTTAAAGGAGGTGAAGACTCAGCTGGAACATGTGGACATGTCAGTCAGAGTCATGTTTCCTCTGCTGCTGCTGCTGCTGGATTAAATCACTGTGGGAGAACAAAAACAGCCAGATTCCCTGAGCAGTTAGTCATGCATCTGCTTCTGATGAACCTTTGGCTGACAGGAACTACAGCTCCCACAATCCCCCAGGGACCGTCATGACTAATGATGTCCTGGGATCAGTTCCTGCAGAACATCATGTGATGTGTTCTCTGCTGGGAGCAGCAGCAGCAGTAACTGCAGTAAAGCAGTAATAACTGCAGTAAAGTAGTGACAGATGTAGTTAAGCTGTAGCTGCCATAAAGAAATAGTACCTGGAGTGAAATGGTTTAAGCTGCAGTAAAGCAGTCGTAACTGCAGTAAAGCAGTAACAGGTGCAGTACAGCAGTAGCAGGTGTAGTAAAGTAGTTGTAGCTGCAGTAAAACAGTTACATGTGTAGTAAAGCGGTAAAAGGTGTAGTAAAACGGTAACAGGTGTAGTTAAGCAGTACCAGGTGTAGTAAAGCAGTTACATGTGTAGTGAAGCAGTAACCAGTGTAGTAAAGCAGTAATTGGTGTAGTAAAGTGGTAACAGGTGTAGAAAAGCAGTAAAAGTAAAGCAGTAACAAGTGTAGTAAACCAGTAACAGGTGTAGTAAAGCAGTAACAGTAAAGCAGCAGTAACTGTAGTAAAGCAGTAACAGGTGTAGTAAAGCAGTAACAGTAAAGCAGCAGTAACTGTAGTAAAGCAGTAACAGGTGTAGTAAAGCAGTAACAGGTGTAGTAAATCAGAAACAGTAAAACAGTAACAGGTGTAGTAAAGCAGTAACAGTACAGCAGCAGTAACTGTGGTAAAGCAGTAACAGGTGTAGTAAAGCAGTAACAGGTGTAGTAAAGCAGTAACGGGTGTAGTAAAGCAGTAACAGGTGTAGTAAAGCAGTAACAGGTGTAGTAAAGCGGTCAGAGATGCAGTTTGGCAGCAGCGGACTCACGCAGACACTCGTTGGAGTTGTCGGCGGTCGCTCTCCTCCACGGCCGGTCGTTGAAGAACGGTTTGCAGATGTTGCAGTCGTCGCCCTCTGTGTTGTGTTTGCAGTTACACACCAGCCGTCCTCTGCCGTTCTTCAGGCACTCACTGGCGTGGCCGTTACACTTACACCTGACGGGAAGGAAACACACCTGTTACACACAAAGATTCCCACCATGTCCACACTTCCCTGATCAGACCGGACATGTAGAAACAGTGAGAGAGCGCTCGCTGCCTCACAGCTTTAACACGACACCAGGGGTCGGCCTGCTGTTGATACTGGGTTTGGTTCCAGTGAGGTTTTTCCACTCGGTGGCGCTGAGGGAAGGTTTTGTTAAACCTCCTGGGGGGGGGGCCTCACAACAGGACAGGACTTGCTCAGCAGCCACCTTTGGTTATTGTCTCAGGTGTTTCTTGGCAGAGAGCCGTGGAAAAACTGACGGCGGGGAGGAAGACTGGGTTTGTAGAGGCTGGCTGCTCATCTGCAAAACACCAAGTCATGCAAAAAGCTGCAGCACGCTGGACTCTGACTCACACATTTAACATGTGCATCACTTTCTCAGCACTAGATTTAACCTCGGTCAACCGCTGGAGCGCTTCTCTTGAACCAACTGCTTCACCAGGAAACTTGTTGGAGTTCAGAGAGTTCAGACCTGCATCAGAAACCTCAGAGTTCACGTCACGCTCAGCGTCTCGTTGGTACCGATCAGTCAGCCTGAGACTTTCACGTCCGTCACAGGGTTGTACATGTTGGAAAAACTCAAAGGAATCTGAAGACTGGCGCCTCGGGCGGCGGGAACACTCTGAGCTCTCAGGTGAGCAGTCTCAGGTGAGACAGAGGAGAGGCCTCTCTGGATAAATAAAGGTTAAACCCTGCAGCTCTGACAGGCTCCGGCTCAGGACTCTCCCCTTTTCTTCGCCCGTCATGGCGGTCAGTCTGCCCCATTCCGGTCTCCCTGTAATCCCGCCCTGCCGGACAGGAATGTCAGGAATGCTGGCTGTGTAATGGAAATCTGCTCCACATTTCAAACAGATTATGGCTGCGGAGGCCGTGCAGCGGCGGCCTGTTTAACACTCCTGTAACGCCTGTCCAAACCTTTCCTGGGGGTTTGTCAGACGTGCAGGGAAAGGAGTTCTCATGTGGATTCCTGTGCAGACCACAGGGACTTGGACCAGAACAGTGACACCTCAAGACCAGGACCCACAAAACCACAAGACCACACTCAGTCACTGAGGAGGTTCCTCCGTGTGAGCGGGTCACAGCCACATGTTAACGAGCGGCAGACACACGGTCAGACATGAAACAGTGTGAAACAATAATCAGCAACAGTCAGCCCGCCTCCGTCTTTACCTCCCTCCCACGGCGAAGTCAGAGATGGCGTAGTAGTACGACTTGAGGACCTTGGGGTCGTTGAACACCTCGTCTCCGAACGTGTTGAGCCTGTTCAGGGTCACTCTGATGTCGGTGGCCGTCACCCAGTCCTGCAGGAGACACAACGTTAGAGACGCCAGTCAAACACAGCAGAGACGTGTCTCATAAAGACACTCTTGTTCAGAGCGGCCCACGCACTCAGACTCACACCAGAAATATTTGAATCCTTTTGTCATATTTACTCCACAAATGATCTGAGTGACATGAGACTGATGTCACCGTCCTACGTCTGAGACCAAGAGTGTCCTGCCCCAACCAGGAGAGAGGTCAGTCTCAGGCAGGGTCGTCTGTACTGGTGTTATCACACACACACACACACACACACACACACACACACACACACACAGGGAATGTGTATCGTGTATGTTAGGGTGAATATTTGAACCCTGTCCGAGGAGAAGAGGCAGAGTCAGTGACTTCTTTTGAATCACTTCTTAAAACTCATTTTTATAGACTTGCTTTTATGGTATGTCGTCTCCATGACGCCCTCTTATTGCTTTTAATGTGTGTGTTTCTATACAGCATCTGTTCCCGCTAACTGTCCTTATTTACACTGAAGTATATTACTTGTCCTCTGTAGCTCCTCCTGTCTGTCCAGAGCACTAAACTCTGTGTTAAAGGTTCTGTATGAATAAAGTTATTATATTATTATTATCATTATTATTGTTATTATATACTGTCACGTCTGTTGCTGTGTGGTCCTTGATGTTTTAATGCAGTGGTTCCCAGATCATTTGCAAAACGGTACAATTTTGGTAAAAATAAATAACAAATGTTTTTAACAGAATGATCTTTAGAAATGTTAGAAACTTCTGTCAGTGTGTTTCTGGTATCAAGGCCTTAATCCTGATTGTGTGGGAAACACGGAGACACTGAAACACTGACGCAACACCGACAGCAGACGCTGAAACTGTGACATGTATTTATTTTCCTGGCGCTGAGACGTGAGATCCAGATGGAGAGAATTAGTGAAGGACACCTGTTCAGTCCGAGAGGATAAAGAAAGTTACTCAACATCTGGCCTGTGTGAAAAGGCTCATGGGAAACTGGGGAGTGAAGGCCAGCGATAGCTTTGTCCAGTATCGGCAGGAGGCTTATCAGGCCGGAGGTTTCCCCTGAGCTCAGAGCAGCTGAGACACAGCAGCAGCTTCCCAAACCTCTCTCCATGTTCCTGTTCAGGTTTCACCCCCCCCGCTCTGTTTCCAGCGGGGGGGGGGGGGTCATGTTTTGGTAAATAGAAGCACTGAAACCTTCAGCAGCAGGATTTAAAGTGTTTGACTTTCTGTGGTCGGACGCTCGTCCTCCCACTCAGGAAAACTTCTTCTTCTCCTGTGACTTCACACTCTGATGTGAAATCCTGCTGCTGGGAAGGAGGGACAGATGATCAGCTCACAGACGCAAATAGATTCAGAACTAACGACATTATTCTGCTGTGTCTCGTTACAGCGTCTGTGTCACATTCACTCACTCGCGGCCGAGAGTCCGTCTCTTCACTTCAGGGTGTTTCCAGGAAGTGAGTTTATGTTGAGGAAACCTTGACTCAGTCTTGGTGTTAGTCCTGGTCCCTGAACAACAACGCCACGACTTCTCCTTAAGGTTTCCTTAAAACCTTCACTTAAGTATTTCAGGTTTTCTCCTGATCTTAGTCTTTTACTTAGAGAATCACTTAAAGTCAGTTCAACTGTTGCATGAAAGACCTTGAGACCAAAGTTCACCTGCTGAAGTTCCCGCCAAAACAACAGGAGGATGAGATAACGGGTATCAGTCGCCATGGAAACAGAAGTTTACTGCTGTAAAATCTCTTTCACTGCTGTAAATATCTGAAGTGTTTTCCTGACTAAGGAACCTTGTAAGAGACTGTGTGCAGCACCTTCAGTAACTGCCTCAGCTGAGGAGACGTTAAACTTTAAGTGTCGGACTTCAGCAGAAAACTGAAGGTGTTTTGTGACACAGTGAAGCTCCGCCCCCTGCTGTGCACACAGCATCAGGTCCGTGTGCTGCCAGACTCTGATGGAGGTCCAGGTCTTGGCAGAGTCTGGCTCTGATGAAGCCCGTCATTGTTGAGGAGGTTTCTCAGCTGCTCGCTGATCGACGGCGTCTCGCTGCGACTCTCTCTCTCTCTCTCTCTCTGCCATTCATGCAGAACAAACTGCTGTGGCCCGTCCGGCAGCTGCAGCTCTTCAGGCCCGTCCGGTCCAGGAAGCCGCTGCAGGTTCTCAGCTGAGCGGACGCCGTTTAAACTCGCCTGAACATTTGTTTTCCATCAATCATGTTCAGCTCTGAGCAGAGTCACAAACATCCAGCTGAGCTGCAGCAGACACATGCAGCCTGGAAACAGTCAGTCAGTACAGGACCAGGACCAGGACCAGGACCAGGACCAGGACCAGGACCAGGACCTGAGTCCTTGGTCCTGGGCTGAGGTAAAAAAAAAAATGTTTTTGCAGTTCCAACTGAGAGACAATTATTATAGATTATTATAATTATCATTATATTCCCTCATGTGGTGTTTGATGATGGTGGAGGTCTCCCATAATTCACCTGGGCTGATATCAGGTGACTGAGGCTCATCATCATCGTCCTCAGTGACCTGTGATGTCACAGCTCTCCTCCTGTCTGATGATTGGCTGCAGGGTGGAAACAGCTTCACATATACACAGACTGATGAATGATCAGGTGAGAGCAGCCGGGTCACCACAGTTCATCTGATGATGATGATGATGATGATGATGATGATGACATGAACCGATACAATCACTGAATGAACACACGTGTTTCAGCTGCAGGACCCCGCCATGTAAGGTCAAAGTTCAGAACATGAGGTCACTGTAGGTCAAAAAGAAAGCTGATTTAACGCTGCAGATATAAATATATTTAAGTCAAGACCAGCTGCACAGAAATGTCTTATATGTTCATAGACTGAATCTCCATACATGACATAAATGCACATGTAAAATAAAAGCTCATGTAAAAAGAATTACATGTGAAACCTTTTGGAAATCGTAATAATTTCATATATTTCTATAAAATATATACATTTATGCATGTATGTTTATATTGTTACATAAATATATATCCCTCAAAGCCTGTCAGTACATGTTGATATTTTATACAAGTCTGTGTTAAACATGTTTATAAAACATATAGGTAACACTTCACGTAGTTATGTTTAACACGTATATTGTTTTAATAAACCTGCATAAATATATAATGTCAACACATGACATAAATGTCTATGTATATTGTTTCAGGTAACTATAAATTAAATATAACTCGTTTTATTATGGGTATTTTAGGTAATAAATCTATGTATTTATATATATTTATATATTCAGAGGATGTATACATGTGGTAATAATATAGGGACATATATAATATATATATCACATGTCTGTGTTGGAGATCTGAGACGGGTCGGTCTCTAATTATTTTTGTGTCCATCCTTGTTTTTAAATTCCATGAGTCAGAGGAAACGTGTTTGGGACGAAGCGCGGCGAGAGCTTCAGAGTTATTTTAAGGCGGTCTGGACTCTCAGCTGCAGAATAAAACTGGCTGTTGTTAAGGTGGACTGTCTCAGCTGGTGGTTATTTCCCGCTCAGAGATGACGGGCGGCAGGAATGTCAGCGAGCGACAAACAGCCGCCTGCAGACAGACAGGCAGAGAGAGAGACAGGCAGACAGACAGACAGACAGAGAGAGAGAGAGACAGGCAGACAGAGAGACAGACAGACAGGGAGAGAGAGAGACAGACAGACAGACAGACAGACAGAGAGAGAGAGAGGCAGACAGGCAGAGAGAGAGACAGACAGACAGACAGGCAGAGAGAGACAGACAGACAGAGACAGACAAACAGGCAGAAAGAGAGACAGGCAGACAGACAGACAGAGAGAGACAGACAGACAGGCAGAGAGAGAGACAGGCAGACAGACAGACAGACAGAGAGAGAGAGAGACAGGCAGACAGAGAGACAGACAGACAGGGAGAGAGAGAGACAGACAGACAGACAGACAGACAGAGAGAGAGAGAGGCAGACAGGCAGAGAGAGAGACAGACAGACAGACAGGCAGAGAGAGACAGGCAGACAGACAGACAGACAGAGAGAGAGAGAGACAGGCAGACAGAGAGACAGACAGACAGGGAGAGAGAGAGACAGACAGACAGACAGACAGACAGAGAGAGAGAGAGGCAGACAGGCAGAGAGAGAGACAGACAGACAGACAGGCAGAGAGAGACAGGCAGACAGACAGACAGACAGAGACAGGCAGACAGACAGGCAGAGAGAGACAGACAGACAGAGACAGACAAACAGGCAGAAAGAGAGACAGGCAGACAGACAGACAGAGAGAGACAGACAGACAGGCAGAGAGAGAGACAGGCAGACAGACAGGCAGACAGACAGACAGGCAGAGAGACAGGCAGACATACAGGCAGAGAGAGAGACAGACAGACAGGCAGAGAGAGAGACAGACAGACAGACAGACAGACAGAGAGAGACAGACAGACAGGCAGAGAGAGAGACAGGCAGGCAGACAGACAGGCAGGCAGAGAGAGAGAGAAACAGACAGACAGAGAGAGACAGACAGACAGACAGGCAGACAGGCAGACAGACAGACAGACAGAGAGAGAGACAGACAGACAGACAGACAGACAGACAGACAGACAGGCAGAGAGAGAGACAGGCAGACAGACAGACAGACAGACAGACAGAGAGAGAGACAGGCAGACAGACAGACAGACAGACAGGCAGAGAGAGAGACAGGCAGACAGAGTCTCTGCTTCAGTATAAATAGCTTCATGCTGACGAGTCAAATAAGGAAGTTTAGAGCTGCTGAGCTAAATCTGTTCATTTACATGGAGGGAGGTGTCGCACACCTCTCCATCACCCGGCCGGCTCCAGGGTGGAGCGTCTCGCTTCATCTCGCTTCATCTCGCTTCATCTCAAAGTTCAAACAATAACCAGACAGCGTTCAATAACAGGCCACATTCCAATAATCAAAGTTTATTAGTATCTGATTGGTTGGTGCGGCCGTATGAAAACTGGACCCAGCGAGGAGAGAAGTTACTTCACCATCGTTTCACTTCATCTCACACTAACTCTCAGCTTCCACTTCCTGTCAGAATCCCATTGGACGCAGCTCAGTGATGTCAGAGTGTACAGCTGGAGTCTGATGGACAGTGATGTCAGAGGAGGAGGAGTCAGAGGACAGAGGTCCTCTGGGACAGAGCGGAGTTCAGGACCTCAAATTTCCACTTTTTGACTTTCTCAAGGTCACCAGAGGTCAGATACGGTTTGCCTCCATGTGTGAAACAAAAGCTGGAGGTATGTAGATGATCCGCCGCAGGTTTGATGCCCGACTGTGAGCAGCGGCGAGGAGTCACGACAACATTGTGCAACAGAGCGTGAGGAGAGAACAGTGGAAACAGACGCTGCACTTGTTGAGCAACTTCATCCACCGAGTGAGGAAACATGGAAACACAAACACACAGGGGGGAGGAGGGGGAGGAGGGGGAGAGGGGAGGGGGGGGGGCAGTAGGGAGAGAGAGGACGTCCAGCTGCAGGTCGGTCGAGCCAAACGGAGCCGCTGCTGCAGTGGGAAATCCGGGGGCGTCGCCTAGCAACATGCCGCAATACTTGGCAGCACCAAACCTGTAACAACCCGACCAGCAGCAAGGACTGCTGGGAAAAAAAAAATCCACTGGCACAGAGGTCTGAGTGAGGGTGAGGGAATCTCCACGCAGCGTCCAATCACAGCTCAGACAGCGAGACAGGAAGTGCTGCTAACATCTGGACAGAACGCATCATCATCATCATCAGAGCTAGAGGCGAGAACAGCTGTGGGTTTTAATGATGTCACAGTGACGCTGACCTTTGACCTTCTGGATATAAAACCTCATCACGTCTTTGACATTTGAGTTAAATTGTGTCATAATTAGTTGTTTTGTGAGGTCACAGTGACCTTTGACCTTTGACCTACGATCAGCTGATCTGCGAGTGTTTGACCCGAGCTGTTTCTGAGGCGTCACGTTCTCCGGCGCAGAGGAATAATAAAGTTTATTTGAATGCAGAGCGACCAGGTGTGTGATGTCATTCATAAACAATCCACAGTTTAAACAAGATTTTAAACCTGTTTTAACTGATGTAAACAACTGACTGTTTCACTGAGGACGTTTATTATATCAGCACTTCCTGTTCAGGAACTGTTCTATGATGTTTGTCTACGTACGTCTGTCTCTGTCTGTCTGTGTCTCTGTCTGTCTCTGTGTGTGTCTCTGTGTCTCTGTGTCTGTGTCTCTGTGTCTGTCTGTGTCTGTCTGTGTCTCTGTCTGTCTCTGTGTGTGTCTCTGTCTGTGTCTGTCTGTGTCTGTGTCTGTCTCTGTGTGTGTCTCTGTCTGTGTCTGTCTGTATCTCTGTGTCTGTCTGTGTCTGTGTCTGTCTGTGTCTCTGTCTGTCTCTGTGTCTCTGTCTGTCTGTGTCTCTCTGTGTCTCTGTGTCTCTGTCTGTCTGTGTCTCTGTGTCTCTGTCTGTCTGTGTCTCTGTGTCTGTGTCTGTCTGTGTCTGTCTGTGTCTCTGTGTCTCTGTCTGTCTGTGTCTCTGTGTCTCTGTCTGTCTGTGTCTCTGTGTCTCTGTCTGTCTGTGTCTCTGTGTCTCTGTCTGTTTGTGTCTCTGTGTCTCTGTCTGTGTCTGTCTGTGTCTGTCTGTGTCTGTCTGTGTCTCTGTCTGTCTGTGTCTGTGTCTGTGTCTCTGTCTGTCTGTGTCTGTCTGTGTCTGTGTCTCTGTCTGTCTCTGTCTGTCTGTGTCTGTCTGTGTCTGTGTCTCTGTCTGTCTGTGTCTCTGTGTCTCTCTGTGTCTTTGTGTGTCTGTGTCTCTGTGTGTCTGTGTCTGTCTGTGTCTCTGTGTCTGTGTGTCTGTGTCTTTGTGTGTCTGTGTCTCTGTCTGTGTCTGTCTGTCTGTGTGTCTGTGTCTCTGTGTGTCTCTGTCTGTCTGTGTCTCTGTGTCTGTCTGTCTCTCTGTCTGTCTGTGTCTCTGTCTCTCTGTCTGTCTGTGTCTCTGTGTCTGTGTCTGTCTGTGTCTGTCTGTCTGTGTCTCTGTCTCTATGTCTGTGTCTCTCTGTGTCTCTGTCTGTCTGTGTCTCTGTCTCTATGTCTGTGTCTCTCTGTGTCTCTCTGTGTCTCTGTCTCTCTGTGTCTCTGTGTCTCTGTCTGTCTGTGTCTCTGTGTCTGTGTGTCTGTGTCTGTCTGTGTCTCTCTGTGTCTGTGTCTCTGTGTCTGTCTGTGTCTCTCTGTGTCTGTGTCTCTGTGTCTCTGTCTCTGTGTGGACTCACCTGGAGGACGGGGCTGTGGTCGAAGTTGTAGGCGCTGGGTCGCCCCTCCAGCGTGGAGAAGGCCACGTTCCCGCCGGTGAGCGGCGAGATGTCGCTGAAGTCGTCGGTGCAGAGCGCCTGCTGCTCGTCCTCTCCGGTGCGGATGAAGCCGTGGCTCTGCTTCTGGTACGTCTTCTCGCAGGAGCCGCTGTAGTACTGGTACGGCACCCAGGGCCCCCCCTCGCTGGTTCGCTTGTAGATGGCGAAGCTCTCCGGCCGGCTGGTGTGGAACTTGAGCCGCACGTAGGTGATGTCGAAGGCCTTACCTGCAGAGGAGCGACACACCTGGACTCAGTTTGTCTCATTACAACAACGTTTTTAATTAGTGACCATGTTCAAATTACATGATGACTTTATTAAACATTTTTATTTCCTCACGTCTCACATGACATGTATGTTTATGTTAGGGTTAGGGTTACACACACACACACACACACACACACACACACACACACACACACACACACTCTCTCTCTCTGAGCCGACGTGCATCAACACAAACGTTTCTCCACTGAAACCTTCTTCAGTCTCTGAGCAGCTTCATGAGGAGACGAGCTTCACTGCTTCCTCTCCTGTCTCCTTGAGGAAGCGCTGGAGCTTCCTTTACCAAAGTGGACGTGGCGTCCCACAATGCCTTGCTGCAGCACCGTGTGTGAGTTCACCACTTTGACTGAACTTGGATTTAGACGGGAATGTAAACGGGACGTGGCGGCAGCGTTAACAGTAACGCGGTGATGGACGCTCCCTCTGCAGCTGGAGCAGCAGCTGGACGGAGGAGGGAGGGGGGTTTCTCTGAGGACCGGGGGAGCAGGAATGTGAAGAGTGGTGGGAACATGTTAAAGCAGCGGTCTGGTCCTTTAACTCCTGACGTCCCGCTCCTTCCCGCTCTCTCTCCACATACCGGGCGAGTCAGAGCAGATCCAGGAGCCATCAGTCAGTGCGTGAAGGAACGCCGCCATGTTTGAGCCGGGGGGGGGGGGGGACGGCTGTTTTCTCAGCCAAAAAATCTGTTCTGTAAACAGTGTGCTGACAGGGGCCCCCGCCCCCCCCCCATGACGACAAATAAAGGTGAAGCAGCTGAGAGGACGGAGGGACGTTCACAAAGAGCTGAAGTTTATTACAGGAAACAATGAAGCAAGAGCAAACACACCGGCTTCCTGTGTGTGTGTGTGTGTGTGTGTGTGTGTGTGTGTGGGGACCAGATGAACTCTATGGGTCAAGGTTAATAAGGAGCTGAGTGCAGGGTGGAGGCCGAGTTCAAACAACCACCGACAGACATGAAGCTGAGCATCCTGTTAAAGCTCCTCCAGTCTAAAGGTATGATTGATTATAATGATTATTAATTGATTATAGATCAGCTCTAGCTTCTATATTAATACTGTGAAAGTATCAAAGCCTCAGTCCACAGAGAAATGCACACAGCCTGTATTCAGAAACTGAGCCTTAAAACCAGCCGTCAGGACTTCTGGAACTTTGTGATGTCACAACAAAGCAGTCACCAAGCCCCGCCCACCTGGACCCACCATCCAAACCTTGCAGGATTTGGTTTCTCTGAGTGTTTTTACCTGAAATCTGCTGTATTTTCAGAGTGACGTTTAGAGTGTGGAGCTTTATTCAAATCTGATCCTAAACATCTGTGACGTGAGGCGCCCCCCCTTCCCTAAGCGGCCCCTCCCTCTGGACACTCTGGCTTCACATCAAAGCCGCAGCGTGAAGCGTTTAGTGAGGAGGCGTCGCTGACAGGACGTCCACCTCCACATCCTCAGACAGGACAAAGACCTCTGTTGGCACAGCAAACAACGGGGGGTGGGGGTGGGGGTGGGGGGTGGAGGGACGAGGTGGAGCAGCTCGCTCCTGTGGGTGACATCACAGAGGCAACGGCCATCTTTTAGTCCGGTCTGGACTGAGGACTGAGCAGGACGAGGCGAGACTTCGTCTGTTTCTATGGAAACATCTCAGAGGGGTCGGTCAGGTGATCAGAAACTATTTTATAAAGGGTAATTAAAGAAGACATTGATTCATCAACAGACATCTCAGAGGAAAGACGATCAGGAGGAGCTGAGACGAGAGGCGACAGACGCCATCACGCCGCTTCATTAAAGCCGCCGTGTCTCTGTGACGAGTCCGTCGACTCTGCAGCAGGAAACCAGGAGGAATTCTGGGAAGGAATCCTCCTCCAGAACAAACGGCGTATTGATGAGAGGAAGAATTTTACAGTGGAGAGCGCGAACAAAGAGAACGCTGTACGTTTATGTCCTCGTCCCATATGACGCCAGAACACAAAGACTCCCGCTCTCTGCAGACACACACACACACACACACACACACACACACACTCTCTCTCTCTCTGAGTGTTGGCAGGACGAGATCACTGGTTTTCTATCGTGTGTCCCGGTGCAGAAACAACAACTTCTTCTCTCCTGTGGCGACATTAGTCTTGCTCAAAGACACTGGGATGAAGCTCATTTCCAAAAGTAGAAAGCTCACAGGAGACGTAGGCAGGTGTCTGAGTGCTCTACCAAAATAAAAGCTCACAAACAAACCTTTCATAAAGTGTGTCTGACGTTTTAAAGCAACTTGTCCTGAAGCTACGAGAAGTGACTGAACACAAACTGAAAAACAAATGTCACATGATTTAAATTTAGTTTTCATGCTTCGTCTTTCCACCAAAAGAAACACAGCTAAACATTTAATTTTGACATTTTGATAATTTTTTTCAATAATTTCAAAAATATTTAAAATTTTACATTTTACATTTTTAAAATTTAAATTTAGAAAATTATTTAAATATAAATAATAAAACTATTTTGAAACAGAATAACAGAAAACAATGTTTTGATTTTGAGATAAAAATACAATTTTGAAAAAAGGCCATTTTGTTTGTCACATTGTTTTCTGGAGAATTTATTCATTTATTTTATTGTTTCCTTGTAAGAACATTTCTTTTTGTTTTTGAATAAGAAGATTCTCATTATTACAAGAAAACTAAATGCTGTTTATTTGATCATAATGTCATATTATTATTATAATTATTATTTACATATAATCTTATTCTCCTGTCAGGCCCTGAGGATTGTCTGCAGGAAACCAGCAGGTCGCCTGAGAGGCGAAGCACAGGGCTAAAGCCTTGTAATTAGTTGTGGGTGTAAGGTAACGATTAGCTGATTAACTGATTAACTGATTAACTGATCAGATCAGTGTTTCCCAACGCTGGAGTTTTTCAGTTCAGTCCTGAACGGCCAAATTTAAACTGCTCAGACATTGTTTGTCCTCCGTAATGTTAATGTGGATGAACCAGTGAATGATCCAGAGGATGAACCAGAGGATGAACCAGTGGATGAACCAGAGGATGAACCAGAGGATGAACCAGTGGACAGAAAAATAATCAGATTATTTCGATCATCTATTTCTCGTTTCCATTGATTTTCAAGCAAAAACTGAAAATATTCTCCAGCTGTGAGAAAAATGATCAAGATATGAGACTGAAAACAACGTTGTGCTTTTCATAGGAGTGAACACATGAAGACGTCTGTGACTGTGTGACTTCCTGATGAACCGTTCTGCTCAGGAAACAGGAAACACCACGTGAATCAAGTCTATGAACTCAACCTTTAAGCCCAAGAACCAAGTAGGCAGGTTTGACCCCCCCCCCCCCCAAACCAAACGCCAACATTGTCAATTAGCTGGTTTTGCTTAAAGCAGAGGTGACCCCCCCCATTGTGGAGCGCTGACCCTGCGAGACGCTCCTCGGGGGGCCACAGTCACGTCTGAACATGAAAAGAGCCTCCAGTCGTTCAGGGGAAGAAGCTTTTCTTTCCTGGGCCGCTGGGGAGGGACCGGGGGGGTCGATGGGGGGGTGACGGAGTGACACGGTGACGGCAGGAATGAACCGGCTGGAATGTGTTTCCTGCGAGCAGAGTGACGGAGAAAGAAAGAGTCCACAGAGAAGGAGAAGAGGGCGAGCGAGCAACACAGGCTGCTCATGTCAAAGAGAGAGAGGGGGGGGGGGCTGCTGGGAGTTTTTTCCTGCCCACATATGGAAGACATGACAACTGACTGAGTAGAAACGGCTGCAGATGAGGGTATTTTCTCTCGGGGGAGGGGGGTGGGGGGGTGAAGGTTCACTGCTGAAGTGCCGCTGAGCATCAGATAAAACTGAGTCTGTTCCTCCTCCAGTCGCTGCCACGATGAACCGACACCAGATCTCACTGTTTCAGACGCTGTGGTTAAAAGTTATATTTTAAATGATTTCTACAAATATTGGAAAATATTCGTTTTTACATTTTTCAAATTAGATAAATTAAATTTTGATAAAAACATTTGTTTTAAATCTTTAGATTTTTTAAGAATTCTTTTTAACAAAATCATCTCATTATTAAAGAAGATAAAATCATTTTGTTGTGAATTTGATCAAGAAAATGATCCTTTGATTTTTAGATCAAGAGAAAATGATTTTGTTATTACAAGTTGTTTTCTGGAGAATTCATTATTTATTTTGTTGAGAGAATTGTTTAATATTAGTTTTGTTTTTAAGATAAGAAGATTCTGATTATTACAAGAAAACAAAATGCTATTTTCTTGACAACATCATGTTGTTTTTAATTATAATTTTCAGTTTTTTATTAAAAGCAATGAAAATATTTAACTGATAAATAATCTTATTCCAGGAAAACAAACCTAAATGACCTTTTGTTTATGACATACTTTTAATATTTTAATGTTTTATTTCAAGAATGAGATTAAAAAAAGAATCATAACAAGAAAATTGAAACCAAAAAAAAGAAACCTGTGTTCAAAATGACAATAAAACTTCTGCGTTATTAAACTCAAGAGAAGTGATTAAAAATAAGTGTAATGGCCTCTTTGAGCTTCCGTAGTCTTTACTGGCTGTAAATCCACTTTCCTACAAATCTGTTTATTTACTGGAACAAATGAACAAAAGGTCAAAATTTAAACTGCTGCTCATGTTTCTAACAACAGACGATGTTTCGGACCAGAGACGGTGAAACTGTCTGTTCCTCACTTAAAGCCACTGCAGGGAAATTTAAGAGTAAGAATAAAGAGTCTTAAAGTCTGGTCTTCGTCGTGTCTCTGGCTTCCTGTGGTGCTCGCCGTCATCAGACCTGCAGAGCAGCGTTACAGCGACGAGTCCAGACGTGTCGGAGGACGAAACCTCAGCCAACCAGACGCTCGCTCAGCCAGAGAGAGATAACAGAGACGCAGCAGCAGCTCAGTCACATTCATCAATACCTTCAGTCATTACACG